CCCCCCCCTCCCTCCCCCAAACTGTGTCACCACACACTCTGCACCACTTAAAATGGGCCAGCATTGATTTGCTGTCTGAACAGCTTAACACCGTTTGATCAGGTTTATTTAGTGCCAACATGTAACAAACTAAAATGCTGCTTTAACACTTCTATAAAGGTTCCCTTTTCAGACAAAGTATGTATCGACAACAAAAAAAAATTGACAGCCTGGAGAATCTCGCGAATGTGTCAGCATTATCTTTCAACTGTGACTGAAAGTGACAAAAACGGAACCAAAAATGTAAAAATGGCACCAAAGTTGGATTCAAATGTTGCTGAATCCTCTGGAAATCTTTCACCAAGTGAGTCCTGTGCACTTAAACAGAAATGCAGCAAGCTCTCGTGTTAAATGACTCTGGGGGCATTTTATTGCGGGATACCATCCTTCACAGTAAAAGGCTGATTAAGAAAGTAGGTTTCAGGGCCTTAAATCCATTGATAAACAAGAATTGCTTCTCCTAAAATACCTTCCAACTACAAGAGAAAGAATCACCAAAAAAATCTTCCACAAAGCCCCTCTACTGAGCTCTTCTGTTTTTCCTCGCTGCCATGTACACTTAGCTGTTAACCTCTGCTGAACCTGCCAGCTGTCCTCTTTCATTACCGATCGACCGACCTGTTTCCTCGCAAACAGCCCCCCGAGTGCAACAGAAAGACACCCCTCCGTTCTCCCCTCCCCTCCCCTCCCGCCTCACTCCTGTCAGAATCGGAAAACATCTGGAAGGGCCCGAAGAGTTTGTGGAGCTGCATCTTTCCGTCTCCTCTCTCCTGTGACTTAAAGAATGTCCAGGCTTGTGCCATCTTCCTCGCGGTCGAGCGAATCCCAGTGCGGCATCGGTTTGAAGTGATGGGATGTGGCAGAGCTACGGAGGCGCCCAGTTGGACTGTGAACAATTACGGGGATGTGAGAGCAGAGGGAGAGAAGAGCTGCTCTCACAGCTGTCACCTACACACAGGGGACTGTCAGGAGATGGAGATCTGTCAGCTCATGTTTCAGGATTTCATTGCCCACAATAAATTATGGATTGAGTTATGAGCCCATTGAGATCAGTAGTGATGTAAGAGCAGAGAATGACTTCAGGCCTCGGAGAATGACAAGGCTGATTATGCTACTGATTATTTCAGTTCAAACATTTGGTGCGGATTTAGATCTGGGCTAGCAAGCTAAAGTGGATTCAAAGAGATTTCCGAGTGACGCATCATAAATCTTTTTACAGATAAGCCAGCAAATAAAGGTTTGGGCTCATCTATTTTGAGATCTCTGTCATTGCTGATTAAATGATCTCTTCAGGGAATTTGATTGCACACACACATTTGTTTACAAAACAGAAGAAACATTAGCTTTGAACTGGAGATGAACTAATTCTGTTTTTCCCTCAGATACCAATTCCCATACTGATTTGGAGAACTGGCAAATACAAAGTTCCCCCTCAGAAATCATTACAACATTGCAAAAGGATATTTTTTAAAACAGGTATATACTGCTGCTACTTCTACTTCTCTGTCATTGCTATCATTTGTGTCTGGCCTTTCTCAGAACCCTGAAGGACTCCTACTATAACCAAGCCTAGCAGAAGCTAACATGATTACTTTTAGCTAACATAAGTCGCAGCTCAGCTAGCAGTCTTACCTGACGTTAAAGAAGTGAGTCAAAAACACTAATATTCAGCTGCGTATTGTTTAATTTTGTGTTTTTAATAACCTTTACTTTAAATTTAAAAAAAAAACAGCCTGAGAATTCATGAAACAAAAACACTGTTGGCAAACATTTAGCTAGTTTCACTCTCCGCTTGCACCACACTTTGTTGTGATAATTTACCTAAAGCAATGTTTTCGCTCTTCTATGGTAGTTACCAGCGGAAGATATTAAATATATTTTAATTTGTGGTAGGCTTCTGTTTGGTGAATAAAAACAAGTAAATATCTCAGGGGCTAATGTACTTTGGTATTGAAAATGAAGATGAGCTTTTCATCAGCGACTGCCTGAATGTTATGTTTTGCTGTTTGTTTGTTACTAAGACTCTGACTTCTTCCTGAAACCAGTCGGCGAGGAAGTTCCCACAGAGCATCGGCACAACAGTCCAAACAAGGCGACAAAGAGCAATAAAGCTAAATTATAAGCCCCAAGGTTTGTATGTGAGTGTTTGAAGTCTCACACTGTTGTGAACGTTAAATGTCTAAAACCAGCTGCACACATCCACACACACACACACACACACACACACACACACACACACACAGGCTGTTTAACACAGTGCCAGGGGGGAGATGATGTCATTAGCAGGGTACATTTTCCCCTCTAATTAGAAACTCGAGCTTCCCGCCATAACTCGGGGGTCTTTTCATTCAGCTATGCAACAAAACGGGGGATTAAACAGAACAAATGTTTGACATCCCTCTTAAATTGTGATGTTTTCAAGACCGGGCCCTAGAACAGGAAAGCAAAACCATGCCTTGAATGTTGCTGCGGTACGCCTGAACTTTAAGTGATAAGAAACACATGAGCGGCCCATTGTGAACTAAACCCATGAAATATCCTGCGGCTTCCGCTCGCTCTCTGCAGTCAGCACTGATGTGGCTCAGAAACGATCAGATTATACACTTGTACAGCCTCAAAGAACACTGTTGAGTTGGGGCAAAAAAGGGAGAAAATTGGAAAATATAGACCAAGAGAAATCCTGGTGTGCTATTATATCCTATAATAAATTTGAAAGAGGTCAACGGGATGGTGGCCGTTTAACTTCTGCTTCAATGTGGTGAGGGCATGAATCTTTTTCCTTTAAGTTAAAATCATAACATCGACATGATTCTGCGGGCTTTCATCATCACTTATCACTGCTGGTGCCATGAGCCAAACAAAAAGGCAAAGACCTAACTTACGTTTCATTTAGTCATGCTAATGATGTCAGAACTCCTGTCAACACCCCAAACGGAGACTAGAACGAGCAGCTCTCCGTTTGCTGCCCCCAGGCTATCAGTGTAGTGACGGGGGGGTGGGGTGTGTGGGGGGGGGTGTTATCTCCTATTCTCCGCTGGGATCAGCATCAAACGCAGATGCAGCCAAAATAGAGCTGGAAAATAAGCCCACTGCTACATGAACTGAAGAAGGGAAAAAAAGGTGTGTGTGTGTGTGTGTGTGTTGGGGAGGGGACTGTTTATGACTGCTACAAACTGTAATTTCGCAGGTTGGTATTCAGTCAGAGAGATGTTTGTATCCTGCGTTTAAAAGTGCACAACATGAAGGATTGATGTCTGCTGTAGGTGTTTATGAGCTGTGACTCATTTCGCTTTGAGGCAGGGACGCAAGCTAGGTCAGGTTGTGGGCTAAACGTTCAAGACAAACAAAGAAAAATGGATCAAGGAAAGGTGTGGAGGAGATTGGTCTTAATCTAACTTAAAATGTAAGTTCCATCCTGCATAACCTGGATTCATCGGAAGACTTTAAACTATTAGGAAAGCTATTGCTTCATCTTGAAATTATTGTTCTTTAAGCCAAAAGAAACAAACACTCCTGAAAGAGCTCCACAAATCCAGTAGTTCAGTAACTGACTGCAATTTATAGTTAGCCTTTTCTTTAAGAGCACTGTAGTGTCTCATGCTGGGAACAAAAAGAAGACCACCTCTCCCTCTGGAAAGTAACAGTTAAACCTGTTCATGATCTGCATCAGAAAGCATGAATTAAACCTTCTGCTGCTGCGGCTGCACGCTGGCCAAACCAACTCGTGCTCACCTATGAATCGCAGGGTGCGTTTGTTTACAGGACATGTGTGGTCTGTTTAGTCTGGCCGCTAACTTGTTTATGCTCCTGACCCCACGCCGATCACACCAACTCGGGATGCATTCAACATATTAGTGGAGAGTTACAGGACAGGGAGGGAGTGGCAAGAGGTGGGTCAAGGTGGAGTTGACCCTGAGGGCATGTGATTGTCTCCTCGGAGGAGACAGTCTTTTCAGTTTCAGAGTGGGTGTGTTGCATAACGACCCCTCAGGTCACAAACTTTTGTTCTTTAGTAAGGTCTCAGGTGACACTGTCTGAGGCTTTAAAATGAGTACATTGTTTTTATTAACATGAGACTTATATTTGACTTACACAAACTGATTGGTAGGAAAATGCTAAATGTGCTTGAAGATTTTAAAAGTTCCTTCCTTGATTAGACAATTTGAGGCCAGAGCCTTAATTTTGCAGTCCCCCTGATTCCATCCAGATGTAAATATTTAGTGTGGAGTAGAGGTAAGACGGGATAAACCTGCCGCCCTGGGCCGGCTGTACCTTCTTTAATCAGAGCGCTGTAGTCAATCATTGCTCCCTCTCATTCTCTCCATACACCATGCAGCTAATATTGACTTGGCTTTAACCATTTGCAGGTTTACATGGCAGGTGACGAAATGCACACACACACATAAAACAGCTTTTGGATCCATAAATCTATTCTGTTGTTTATAGATTAGCCTGACATCCATCATAGACCTGCTGCCAGGGAGAATTTTCCTTTCAGGGCAGCAGCAGGTCTTAAACACACCATAAACATCTCAGACATGACTGTTAAAAAGACAAACTGAATCGTGCTGTAAAAATTTTAAAGGGCAGACACGTTCAGGCTATGATTCCTTGGGGGTGTGTATATTTATAAAATGAATATCCTTCCATTCGCTTTTATTTACAAAAGTCACCAGATGCTCAGTACTAAAGCAATACGTGCATTGTATTTGTTACCAGGCTGTTTGTTCAGCTGTAGCCTGCAAAGGTTAAGTTAATGTGTGATCAAGCCATAGCCTACCAATCTTTCACTCACTCAAAGCTGTTAATAAAAAAACATGTGCCACATATTCCATACTGAAGGAATAGCCCAAAACACGCCAGATCGCTTCATAGCCAGCAAGATCGGCACCAAAAAAACTTTCTAAAATAAACCACACATGTACGTGTACGGAATCGTTAAAAGTCTGCTCATTGCTCACCTTGTTCGCTCAGGTAATCCTCTCCTGTTGTCTTTCAAATCCCGTAAGGGTTTGGAGCTCCTCTGTGTGACAGACTGTCTGTTTCAGCGGGGCGCTGCGCTCTGCGCTCTGCGCGGACTGCTGGCACACTGACGGACCGCTGCATGGCAGCAGCGATAAAGAGGGAGTCCCGACCTCCCTGCAGCGGAGGAGGAGGAGGAGGAGGAGGAGGAGGAGGGGCGGGGGGGTGAGCAGGTATGTGAGGCTGTGTAAACCGACTCCTGAGCCGCATGCAGAGAGCTGAGCGGAGCTGTTGGGGGGCAGTGGGTTAGAGGGTAGACTAAAGTGTTAAATATAACATGAAAATAAGGCACTCAGCTTCACACACGTTGTTTCAATATCAGATGTAGCCTAGTGGTTCAACTTCATCAAATCCCTGACACAAGTGGGCAGAAAACAATCTAGCCTATCATGTTAGTCTACCATTGAAGAACTACCTTAAGTTGTTAATTCTCCTCAGTGTCACTAATGCTAATTCAATTTAATATTAATAGTTGATACAGAATTTATGCAGGTTGAGCATCCATAACCTAACTCCTTTAATTCTTCTGGAAAGACCCTCCAAGGTTACACTACCACTTATTTTCTTTAAAAAATATCTAGGCTTATATTAAAACATATTTTGTTACAGTCTGTAATAGGGCTTCACACTTGCAGAAAACTCCTGAAAAACTCCTGATACTGAACTAAAGATGGCTTTTGGCACCAAACAAGCTCAGCAAGTGCAACAAAACTAAGTAATGTTCAACCAAACTGTCCTCACACCTAAAGTACACAACTTAATCTGTTTGTGGTCTTTTTAATTGATTTAATACTTCATTAATTAGTTGCTAAGCTAACTACTCTCATTCAGGTGATTGGATGTTACCTAATGTTAATCCAGCATTTGATTGACTGATTGATTGTGTTTTAATCACTATTGTCCTGCTGCTTATGATGAATGAAGCTAACAGTGCACTTCACATATAATCTTTGTAGACTTTTTGCTTTAACAGCGCAACAATCAGCACATATCACATGATCCAATTGTCTTCAGACCTAATACTGTTTGATGGAGATAAAGTCCCATGTGACACAGTTTGATTAAAACAAAACCAGAAAATGATCCTCATATATGCGCCTGAGTCCAATCACATTACTCATTTTAATGTTCTGTTTTATTTCTATTACTCTTCCTGTTATTCTACCTATTGCCACCTTGTATTAATTAATTTGCCAAAGCACCTTTTTGATTAAGTAAAAGCATAAAGCTACCATGTCGCCAATGATTCCTAAATGATAGAAAGTGTAGAATAAACAGCAGATCTCCTGTGTTTTCTCTCAACCTCCTTCTTTGTCATAAAACACAGCATGACTGGCTCAGAAAGGTCAGGAGAAGGGGGGGGGAGTGAGAGATAAAGTAGAGATCCACACGTTTCACACACACCTGTTTCTCATTCCCGAGCTCATCACTCCTGACATGGCAGGCAGACAAGTGAGCGAACGCAGCACGGCACAGCACACCGAGCCACTGGAAATATTTAACAGGGAATATAAACAGAGTCTCCAAACAGAGTCATGCTAAGGCTCACATGCTCCGTGCATATATCTCACAGAGACTCCTTCCCTTCTTCTGCTGTGGTGCCCCAGAGCAACATTTCACATTTGACTTTAACTGTTCCCGTGAAGCATGCTCTCTTGCTCACGGGACTAGTGTTAGAAATGTGTTCCGCTGATTTTTTTTTTTCAGGTTATGAAAGTGTCGAAATGTGACGCTTAAAAATAGCGAGCGCACTCGGCAAAGCTTTAAAAAGAATACAGTTTTCAAAAAGAGAGATCAATACACTGCTGTTTTTATCAAAGAATGGCATTTCTTAAAATAGAAGTTCCTGTTCCTGCAGAAATGAGCATGCAGTCACGCTGCATTTGGGGCACCTCCAGACTGGAGCCATGGCCGTCCTCTGCCACATCTGGGTGCAGTAACACGATCTGCTGATCCCGATCCTTGACTTCTGACCTCACAGCCACGACTCAAGGAAGCCAAACTTCCTGCTGAGCATCGTGTGTGTGTGTGTGTGTGTGTGTGTGTGCCGGAGGGTAAGCGACCTCTAACTTGTTTGACGCCATATTTACCCCCAGGAGGAAACTTCCTGTGCTGATAGTTCTCTCTGTGCTACAATGTGATTTTAGGATGAACACGTAGCAGGTGGCTAATTCTTAGCACGATTCCTGGTGCCAGTCAGCTGTTTAGGACCCTGTTGACTTGGGGCGATAATCCTGTAAAAGCTGTGAAAGATCACGTACTGAGAGGGCGAGGGGACACCAGGGTTACAGCAGGGTCTAAATGGATTGGGGATGTGTGAACCATGAAGGGTCAGTGTGCAAGTTTTAGAGAAAACATGAGGTACAGCAGGATCATCTCAATCTATAGCCGCAGAATATCCACTTTTTCAAGAGTATTCTTACAGATAAGGAGAGGAAAATCATCTGAATCCAGAGTTATTGCAATTCTTAAGGCCAGTTTTGGTTTCCAGCACACCTGTCCAACACTCTAACACCCTGACAAAGGCCATTAGGCTGAAACAGGTCGGCGTTTTCCACTCTTTATTCTTACCTTCCTTCCTTTACCTCTCCCACACGAGTGTGCCTGAGACCACTCCACGACCAAACGGAGGCAAGCTGGTCGACTGTTGTTTTTTCTGCAACTGTTAGTCTGCATGCTCCATAAATTCAATAATAGAGTAACATTACAAAGTTCTGAGTGCTTCAATTTGGTTTCCTGTCATGATATCATTTATGCCGATAGTTTCAGTCCCAGAAACTACAGCAAATATTTACGTCTTAGAGTAAAAGATTAGAAAGGGAATAGATAGCAGTTTTTGCAATTACATTTAAGGGAAAGCTGTTTTTAAGTTTAGATTCAAGGATCATGTTTGCAAATCTCTTGCAGTAAATCTTTGAGAAATGACTCACTCAGAATCAGTTCATGAAGTATGGGATTAAGGGACGGAAGCTGACGGCACTCCTCAAGAGTAAAGTCTGACATATTTGAGAGATTGCTGTGCAGAGACGTGCATATTTTAAAACACTTTTTACATCTTCTTTAAATGCCGCAGCATTTGGTTTTAAGTCGTCTTTAAACCATGTTTCCTCGGGGACAGGGATGAGGGCCCCTCCATGCAGCTCCTGTTTACACGTGTTACTCCACATGAAGAAACTGGATACCCACAAAAAAATCAGGGAAATATAAGAAGTAAGGTTGACAGAGTTTTCATGTACTTTCCGTCTTTGCTTTTTCAAACTTGTTAACAATCGCTTCAGTTATGTATTCCTAATCCAAACTTTAATATTAGTGCACTCCTTCAGGGACTATAGGATGTCATCGTGAGCAGCTTTTCAAGGTTTATCATCACTAGGAACCAATGGGCTTATGTCTGAGTGAAGTGAAGTCAGAAGAATCTAAACCTGGACTAATACATTGCTTGTTTCAGTTTTTCCCATGAGATCTGCTGACAATCAAAGAACAGATTACAACAATCATCCTTTGATTCACAAACAGTGTTGTTCTGAATAATGCTGAGCAAACAAAATGGACTCAATCTTGAAATGAAGAGTGCACACAAACATGCACAAAGGCTTGAGGATTAATGATACTTCAAAGGGAGGAAGTCGTACTGTGGCCAGCTTCCTCCCCCCGCCCATCTTGGACCATTTGCTGATGAAGGTCTCGTGAGCCATGTGGTGGCTATTTGGAGCCCCAATGGTAATCGTCTGAGGTACCCACGGTGTAGTAGCACTTTTTCTTTCATAGGTCGAGGTCAGAATTAAGAGACAGGGGTCACTTGTTTTTGTCTCGCTCAAAGACTACTGAGCTTGATGGTCTTGGCATGAAAAATGCGACTTGGGTTTGATAATGAATGGAGGGGGGAAATTGGGTTGATTTTCCCCAGCTTTCCAGATCTGCATTATGATCTCTAGACATCTTTTAGACATCTTGTATTTTCACATAGCACTCCTGAGAATTGCAGGAGGACTGCCCCTGAAATTCTCCTGATTCGGTTTTTCACTATCACATATGTACCTCACAGTGTTCCTGTCATACAGGAGTGGGGACAGGGGGACCCTGAGGTAAGACATGATGTCAAAAAAACAAAACAAAGCAGAAGTGGCGGGCGAAGCAACAGAGTCCGCTACACAACGCTATATTAAGAACATTTGTCTGTATATCAATGCTATGTTAAATTTGACAGAATTACAATATAAACAATAAAGCGGAGAACAACATACTGGCAAACAGAAAACAATATGTAGTTTAATTACATGCACAGAGATTGCATTGGTCGTGTGCATACAGTCTATGGTTGGGCACCAATCGCAGGGAATAAACATCACCATCCCTCTCACTCGTTCGACATGAATTCTCCTGAGGATGCAGCAGAGAAATAAGTTGTAATGAGCAGATACTGTAGGAAAACAAAATACTGTAGGTAACAAATGATGACAATAGTTGATTTGCAGATAGAATATTGAATATTTCATGTTCATGGTGACCCTCTGCAGCCACAGTCAACATCATTTTGCTGATTAACTGCCCCTTAAAACAGATGTACTAATGAGGGTAAACAAAATAATGTTAGGGACAGAGCTTTGCACTTTCTTAGTTATCCTTAATGCTTCAGATAGATCCAGAATCTTCTACCCCCACAAAGATCTCACACAGAAGTTGTTGTTTTCCCTCCTCATCTCTCTCTATGAATGTCATGACTGAAGGCCCAGACCTGAGGGTTGACCTAAACATGCTCATACCACTGTGTCCTCCTGTGTGTTTACTTTGCCCTTTGTGCTGACCCTCCCCCCCCTCCTTCCCACCACACTCCTGCTCGTTACGACGCCTTTTGTTTAGCATTTACATTTGGTGGGGGAGCATCATGCCCCTTCCATGTTTTTATGTTAGGGTTGCTCAAAGGATGAGATGGAGAATAGACAGGAATGGGGAAAAGATGTTCACTATGTCTTGAAAATGTCAGAATGACTGACCCTGTGCCATAGTTATTTGGACGCACATGAAGCATTGTTTTGTTTGAGCTCCA